AATTAGGGTTTAAAATATTTATTGTAACGGAATCTACATTTACAGTAACAGTCAGATAACACTGATCAATTAGGGTTTAAAATATTTATTGTAACGGAATCTACATTTACAGTAACAGTCAGATAACACTGATCAATTAGGGTTTAAAATATTTATTGTAACGGAATCTACATTTACAGTAACAGTCAGATAACACTGATCAATTAGGGTTTAAAATATTTATTGTAACGGAATCTACGTTTACAGTAACAGTCAGATAACACTGATCAGCTGGAAGCGATAATGGCTGCTAAACATAGCGATTAAGTATTCTTACTGGCAGATTTTACTGTCCTGCTATAAGCTATTATGTTTAAACCCTGCAAAATTCAAATTTATTCTCTTCATTAAGTGTCCTCTTGTTAACTTAAAGTGTTGCGGAGAACTCAACCAGATGGATAGGGTTAAATGTAGTTTTATTTAAAGTGCTCCGATGTAATTTTTAAATTACAAATTTAACGATCGGGATTTGAAAGAATAAAATAAGAAAATAAAAACGTCCAGAAAACAACATTATCACGAATTTATTTTGAGAGAGGTTACGTAGGAAATATTTCATCTTAACCTCAGTGGCTATGATCAAAGATACAAAAAAGAACGAGGTTAACGTGATTATATTCTTAACTCTATAATAATATAATCTTTTTTTCCTTTACTAATAAAATAAAACCTTTTCAACATTTTCTAACAAAGGAAATAGAAGATAAGACATTTGGAGATCCGAGATGAAGAAGATGATTTGATTTATTCTTATATATATTAAAATGAAAATTAAATTACTTTAACATAAAAATCAGGGACAACTCTGACCACATAATGCATATAATTATAGCATTTTAGAAATAAAAAGTTTGAGTCTTTATGTAACCGTAATACCCATAATAAATGACTCGGCTACAAAGGCTTAAGAAATTTATTTGAGATAATTGTTTTATTGTTTGCCCTTTGTAGGAGAGCTATCATTTTCCAAAATTAATGACAAAATATACAGCTTATGAAATACTAAAAAAAACTATGGTTGAGTTTAAAATGGAATAATATACAGCTTATGAAATACTGCAAAACTATTGTTGAGTTTAAAATGGAATAATATACAGCTTATGAAATACTGCAAAACTATTGTTGAGTTTAAAATGGAATAATATACAGCTTATGAAATACTGCAAAACTATTGTTGAGTTTAAAATGACAGTTTAACAATGATCGCGAAAACTTATAAGCATTTTTAAAATGCTTAACTCATGAACGCTAACACAATTTGCTTGATGACACAGACAAAGCTGCCCTTTTATGTCTTTACAGTTAGTTAGCACTGTCTGTGTCATCAGGCAAATTGTGTTAGCGTTCATGAGTTAAGCATTTTTAAATTGCTTACAGTTAGTTAGCACTAAATCTACCCTTTTATGTCTGTCTGTGTCATCAGGCAAATTGTGTTAGCGTTCATGAGTTAAGCATTTTTAAATTGCAAAGCTGCCCTTTTATGTCTGGTGCTAGCTAACTGTAAGCAATTTAAAAATGCTTAACTCATGAACGCTAACACAATTTGCCTGATGACACATAGAGACATAAAAGGGTAGATTTAGTGCTAACTAACTGTAAGCAATTTAACGCTAACACAATTTGGAATATGTATAAACATAAACACAGAGGGAAGGAAGTTGGTACTTATTGAATTAGTCTTATACATTTTTAAAGTAGTCTTGTATTCTTGTTTATGAATGTAGAATTTTTGTTTTTATTTGCGTTCGGTGTGATTCAAAAGAAGCGTTTTTATAAAATTCAACTGGCTTGGATGTGGATTTTGGCTTTTTCAACTTCTTTACAAATTTAACTATCATCTTTAAATACTTTGGAAGTGAAACAGATAAAGTGTAACTTACTTTCACCTATCGACGGACTAACTTTAGTGAATATACTAACAGTTAATGTCTGAGAATAGATCCGAGTCCGTTGGTTTGAAACAGTCTGATTCTCCGTTCTTATCTAACACTGAAGGTGTTTGGAGAGTGGGTTCTTGGAGCCGTTTGCTGTAAACTGATTGTTTACGCTCAGATAGTGACTCTTGCCAGCACAACCTTCATCCTGACGTCTATGAGCTACGATCGCTACCAGGCGATCTGTAAACCACTTCAGTCAACCGTCGGAAATATTCGAGCTAGGAGACTGATTTTTACTTCTTGGATTTTGGCTTTTACTGTGGCTGTGCCCCAGATTTTCATCTTTGTTCAGGTAAGCATCAGTGCACTACCTTGTTGTTGTTGTTTGTTTCTGTATACTTGTACAATTCAATATACTTTATTGACTAAAATTAATCTTATTGTTCAAACTAATAATCTGACATCTAGTAATTAAGGTCCGTTCTCAGAAGCCTTATTTAAAATTGTTTTTTTTTTTTTAAGATTTAATCACAGAATAGCAGAGTTCCCCCTCGGTGAGTAAGTCTACACATTTACACTACAAAAAATACGGGTTTCAAGTCCCCGCGATTGACAGAAAACAATGAAAGAATAAAAAAGAGAAATATTTAACGTATAAAAATGGCAAAGTAGATCAATGATAAAAAAATATATTTTTGTTACCATCATTTCCAATGAGGGAATTGAGAGTTAGAGCGGTTTGATCAAAACTTTTAAAAAAAAATGTAAGAGAAGAGAGATTTCATTTTAAAGAATAAAGTTCTGGTTAATACGTAACGTATAAAACAGATGAACGTTCGGGGGAGAGGGTGTTGTTGTTGTTGCTGTTGTTTGGTTTCTCAACCATAATATATTTGATATTTGACTTATTGTGTGCTTTGTTTGACTTCACGTAATTCCAAAAGCAATTTTATTTATTTTTTACTTTTGTTACATTGATTTTCTAAAGTTATGTGTCGTTTTATTAACGACGGTTTCGTGGTTAACTCCTTCGGGCTGACTCCATGTTTTCTATGGTTTTATCGTTTAAAAGTTTACGGTTTCAGTCTCGAAAGCTGACGAAATATCTGAAAACTGGAAAATGAATAGGCCTAAGAATTGTCACGAAAACAAGTTATATTCCGGGATGTTGAGGGTTTATTGAGGCTAGATATAGAACTTCATTAGTGTTGTATTTTTCTCGTTCTTACAAGACGACTTAGCCAGAGTTTGTTGCATGGTGGCACGTTCTATTTGGATTTAGTCCTAGCGTTATGCAAATCTTCATAATAATTAAAACAAACAGTACTTTGGATAATACCTTCGAGATTAAGTTTTTTACCAGCAAAGTTACACGTGTTCACATTTACGTTCGTGAAACTTCAAAAACATGCCCCCCCCCCCCCAATGGCACAGCGGTATGTCTGCGGATTTACAACGCTAGAATCCGGGTTTCGATACCCGTGGTGAGCAGAGCACAGATAGCCCATTGTGTAGCTTTGTGCTTAATTACAAGCAAACAAACGAACAATTAAAAACATGAAACCAGCTCTATAATGAGAACCATTCCAAAAAGTAAACTAAACATAATAAATAGAACATGGACACATAAAGTAAGTCTGTTTTTTACTGTAGATCTTCGCGACGTCTAAGTTATAGTAGAGTAACAGAGTTTTCATGAATCTTTTCCTTTTTTGTAAGTGTGTGTGTGTGTGATAAGAGTACACAGTCTGTTTCAAAGCTGCTAATATGTGGCTTTTAATCTTACTTACACTCGTTTTTCTGTTTGTCTATTCTACTCCTCTTCTACCCAAATTTTAACTTAATAATCTTAGCTCGTGACATTAAAATGTTAAATGATAAACATGAGTGTACATGAAATGTGTTCAAACCAACCTAGAGTTACAAAGAAGACACGTAAACATTTTAACGTGGAGAGAGAGAATCCGAACTACAAGCCAAGTCTCGACCTTTCTCCTGCGGGAGAACGCCCCCTATATGATTAAAAAATAAGTTGTTTTTTCTTAGAAATCTAACAGTTGAAACTCATAAAAACAGTTGCTCATATTTTGCTTTAAAATTAAAAGTCATGAATCTAGTATTTGTAAAATGTCTTTATTTCTTTTTAAAACCTTGTATTTTAGTCAATTTTAATTACTTTTATTCTGTGATTTAAACATCAAAATTACTGCTAGAACAATAACATGAATAATTTTAGAATAATGACCGTATAGGAGGAAAGTACAAAAATATTCTACATTTTCAGAAAGAAAAAGGCGTTACTACGACAGGTCGGATACGATACGAATGTGTTAGTCAGGGATACACAGCCATGTGGCAGAGGAAAGTCTATTTCAGTTGGCTTACTACCTACATTTTGGTCATCCCCACGGTCTGCATCAGTTTCTGTTACCTAAACGTCTTGCGAACTCTCTGTGCCGCGAGCCGTGAAAGCCCCAAGAAAAAAGATGACATTTGTCTTCGTCGATCTGTCGGTTCAGCGAACGCAATCCCACGAGCTAAAATTAAGACTCTTAAACTGACTATTTGTATTATCGCCAGTTTTGTGATCTGTTGGACTCCCTATTTTATCGTCCATAACATCCGAATTTTTAGTAATTACAATATCAAGATACCCCAAACTGTAATTGTGGGAGCAGAAACGCTTGCTTTACTAAACAGTGCGCTAAATCCAATTTTTTATGGTTATTTCAATGTTCGAGTCCGCAAAGGTTTTATTGAAATTGTTTACAGAAAGAAGGATTTCCGTAGCTGCATCACAGCATCCCAGTCATGCAGCAATCCTATGGATTCTGGGGACACCGCTTGCAGCTCAGCGGTCGTGCAGAAACAGAACTGTCAACGAAAAACCCGCAAGATGGCGGCGATCGAGATAGAAATGTACAACCGTCAGTTTCTTGGTGGCGGGAAAAGTCGTCAAAAAACAAGGGGTAGCTGTTCTTCTTCTTCGCGTGTTTAAAACAAAGATACTGTTTATAAACACGTGTCTCAAACTGATCTCCAATTAAATTATTTACAAGCCTTACATTCAAATTATTTTGTTTGATGGAAATAAAACGAGAATTTGAGACATTTGGAAATAGTTTAATTTCTATTTTAGATTTATTATGTAAACAGAAACGTTAAGCCTCACTCTTACCAGACTGTAACTTGTTTAGTGTGATCGTAAGGTGAGTAGTTAGTAAGTTTTTCAGTATACTGATATCACTTTTAAAAGTAAAATTCTCATCTCTTTGTGCCGTATACTATACGTATGTAATTTCTATGTGGATAACAGTCAACTTGTTCTGTAGTTTACAGTGTCTAAATTATTACGTTCTCAAATGTGAAATGGTAATGTGTAACGCACACACACTGATTGATGTTGTCTTATGAATAATATGAGAAAAGATGGCGGGTGCTTATAGTCGAGTAACGTAAAACGCTCAATAGTGATAATTCAAATCTTGTATTTATTATTGAAAAAATAAAAAAACAACAAAGCTTTGCGTCTATTTAAAAGTTGACGTAATAAATATCTGTTGATACAAAGCACAAGTCGACCCCTGCTACTCCTAATACCGTCTG